ACGCATAAAATCAAATATTATAAGCCTGCCTCTATGCAGCAAACTGTTTCCTGGCATTTTAGCCCTGTTCTACAGTCTGGACCTTTTCCAAAGAGAGAGCAACAAATCAACACTCATATCTTTTTTATTTTTTCCCCTCAGACGCTTAGTAAGAACCAGGCACATACACAAAAATAAAAGAATGTAGAAAACATTTACCCACTTCTGTTTGGTTCCCAGTGTTTTTAAAGCATTTGACTCAAACTGTTACCCACAAGTAACTGTCAAACTCTTGCAGAACCAAAACCAGACAGATTTCCCCAAATGGGACAGAAATAAATCTAAGCACCCGTGACTTAATGGGACAAGACATGCGATAGGTACTTTCACCTAGAAAAAGAAGAGAAGCAGCAGGATATAGCAGCTCTGCCTTCTCAGGCTGTATGTATATACATGGGAACAAAGCCTACATGATGCTGAGGGTCCAGATACCCCTTACACAAATTGAATCCCATGTTCATGCTGGGAGGACCTCACTGCAGCATGCAGCAGGTGGAGGAGCACACAAAGCCTGTGGTCAGCACGTGGACCCTTGCTCAGGGGGGAATGGTGCCACCAGCTGCAAGCTCTCAGCTCTCTGCAGACACTTCTGCTTCAGAAAGCCCATGAGGCTGTCAGAGTGATGCAAAACTGCAAGGATAACAGCGCTTACAAAAACAGGGTCTCTGAATGGCTCTGGAAACCTGCAGCACACAGCTGGTGAAAAATGGGAAGGGGGGGAGGCAATAAATAAAAAGAAGTCCCAAACAAACCCAGTCACAGAGAAATTTGGCTGAAGAAACAGGAGTTGTGCTGAGAATGAAGGTGAACGAGGACCAATGGCAAAAATACCCCAGCAGCATTTTAAATTGTTAGGTAAAACTGAGCTTCTTCAGTGACCATCAGTGCAGACCCTCGCAGCACTAGCAGCTCTGCATTGAACAGGAGACTGCTCACCACTGGCAATGTTTGCAGCTCCTTGGACTGCAGGGCTGGAGGATGAGGAGCTGAAAAGCCCCACTTCAGCAGCAGCAGGGCTGGGAACCTTTCCTTTTCTTTCTCCCTGGCAAAAATACACCCTAAGTGTGGCTAGTTACTCTCTGTTACTAAAATGTAGGTCTTGGCTGTAAATCAGGAATGTCCCTTGAAAGGTGCCACCAGAGCCACCGTTGGTCCTCTGCCCCTTCTGGCTCCTTGCAGCTGGAGAACAGGAGCCTGAATGCCATTATTCTTCGTGATTGCTTGAGAAAAAGTAAAGAAATAGGACTGCAATGCAAGGGAGAGCTGTGGAACAGTTAGGCAAAAGGCCTCTGGCCATGTCCATTTATTACTAGATATTAAGGGTATTAAGCTCAAGCTCAGATGGCATTTGTGAGTCACTAACCATGTTCCCTCACATGTTTGGGGATTGTTTTCTGGCTCCTGTAAGATGCCAGAGTTCTGTTTCCAAGCACAGCTCTGTGACCCTGCAGAGCCCCTCCAAGATGCCATTTGCTCTGTGGGTCATGTTCACCTTCCTGCTGCCCAGGGGATGCCCTGCTCCCTGCTGGGAATGGTCCTGCCCCTGAAAATGGGTGACGGGAAGCCCTGGAGATGGCACTTGACTCCCAAGAGCAGAGACGGCAAGCTGGGCTCAGAGGTGGCTGCTGCTTTTGGTGGCCATCAGAGCCCACTGCAGGAGCCACTTGAAGAAGACGACTGGCTGCAAGCATGAGAATATAGGCAGAGGAGTGGCAGCTCCAGAGGCTCCCAGGGAGGCAGGGAATGGAAGGATGTGTCTGTGCCTTACCCAGGGTAACAACATGGGTTATTGTGCCCTGTCACCCGTCCTGCCTTTGGTATTTCACAAGATCACATAGTCCTTTGGGGAAACAAAGGCCATTATTGTTCTCCAGGTGCACAGCTAAGCTGTGTTCCCTCCTCTCCGCCTGCACCTCACCCCATAGGGGCAAGTAAATTCCCTTTCTTGCACGGACACAGGCTGGAGTCATGGGAGCACCCCATTCCCAGTGGGGTGATGGGCAAAGAAGCCATCAGGCAATAGGCTCTGCAGGAAACAGGGCAGCAGGGACAGCATCCCAACTGGGCAGCAGGACTTTGGGGATGCTGGCTGGGTCCCCACCAGCATGGATGCGTGTGGTGGGTCAGCAGAGGAGCTGACCAGGTTGAGAAACACATCAGGAAGTGGGCAGAGAGAGTGGTTTCCGGGGGGGCTAGGGCAGTGGCTGGAGGAGTTGACAACACGCACACAAAGCTGCTGGCAAGGGGCCCAGGAGCTGGCGGCCAGCCGGGGTGGGGGGAAACAAAGAACACCACTAAAACAGGCACAACCCAAGGGGGCCAGGCTGGGGAGGGGGAGCTTGTGGAGGCCTGCAGTCCTAGGCTGCCATAGCAGGAAGGCAACAAGGAGAGGATCAGGTCTGTAAGTGCATCAGGGGTTTGCTGCACGCAGCTGCATGGGTTTTGATCCAGACTTGAGATCTGGGTCTGGGCTCATCGGCGTACCTGCCCAGAGGTGACAGAGCCTTGTTGTGAGGAGTGTAGTATCTCTGTGGATCAACAACCCAAAGAGGAGGCAGGAAGCTGGGAGGAAGGTTCAAAGATTGATTTTCATTCTGGCAGAAGGGTGGGGAATGCGAGCGCTGCCTCTGAGGTCCTGGATAGCTCAGTATATGACCTGACGATCTGGAAACAAAGATGAGCAATATACCAAACATTTTTAAGAGATGACTCAAAGCTATGGACTCTTGAGGAGATCAGAAAGGACTGTAAGTGAAAGCAGTAATGTGGCAAATGGGCAACACTACATGTTTGCCAAGGCTTAACTGGGCACGTGCAAAGTCAGAAAGAAGAAAACAAATCGCACGTAAGTATTACTAAGCTCCAGATGGTCTTTAGCAGCTCACGAAGGGATCTGGATGTCACACAAGCCCTGGTTCTGTGAGTAGCTGCAGCTTAAAAAAAAAGACCAAAAACCAACCCAGCACACACAAAATATTAGCATGCAGAAGGAATAAGGGGAGAATAATATGGAAAATATGATAATGTTATTATGTAAATCACTAGCGTGGCCTCTCTGGGAATACTCTCTGCAGTTCAAGTAAGCCTTTCTCAGAAAGGGCTGATTAGGTGCATGGCAAACTCATTCACAAAGAGAGATCAAGATGATTGGGGTTGTTTATCTCGGAAAGGAAATGAATAAAAGGAGATTGGCACAGACCAAGCCAGTCCGGAGCTTCTGGTTTTCTTCCTGTTCAATTCTATCACTGTCATATCTGATGCATGAGAAGTGCATGAAGTGATGTGGCTCTCCTCTGTCACACACGGTTTGTTATTTCTCTCACCCTCTCCACCAGAAAAGGTATGACACATGTGGTAATGTTTCGTATTTTGGTAGGATCTGGGGAGGAGGAGGAGGTGGCTAAGGAAGAATCATTACTCTGAAGAGTAGGAATAAGGTAGAGGCAAGGATGGAAAAGGAGGATTTGCACGTTGACAGAGGGGCAGAAGGACCTGGCTTCAGGAGGCTCCTTCCATCTCCTCAGGCAGACCCTGCAGAAGCTGCCAACTACCGCCCTTCTCCCAGAGCCCTAGACACTTCTAGACCAGGTCTTGGGGTTCCTTGGAAGTAAAGATAAGGAGCCTGAATTTGGTTAGTTATTCAGTAAAAAGCATCAGGGTAGTCGGAGGTACCTTCAGACTGAAGAACCGAAGAAACCTGCTCTACTTACCCCACATTACCATGCGCAGCCAGCAGCGACCGCAACAGCCTGTGCTATGGCTGCTGACACGATGCTGCAGTGTGCTGAACTCCCCTCCTTGCTCACACGAGGCCGTTTGATGGCATTTAGGCCTGTCAGATGCAGAGCAATGAACGGAAAAGCCCTATTAGCGCCGTTCCGGGCCACGGGAAGCGCGCTTGAGGGCACACGGAGCAGGCAAGGCCAACAACCCAGCCCATTTCACCGCAGCACACGAAGCCCAGGCTGCTAACGAGTCCCTCCATGGCAGTACAGCCCGACTGCTCCACCCTGGCCTGTCCCCGGCCAGCCTGGGCCCCTCCGAGCCGCACCGCGGGGTCTCACTCGTGCCCTCAGCCCTTCCCCACAGCCTTTCAGGGTGTCCCCGCCGCCTCACCACGAAGCTGTCACCCCCTGAAGCACACGCTCCCCTCAAACCCAGCCCGCCCCGACCCCAGCCCCAACCCCAACCGGGACCTGGAGGGGGGCAGTCCCGCTCCCCGCCGGCAGGGGGCAGCCTCCCGTACGGCGGCAAGCACTGCGCGGCGCCCGGCCGGTAGGGGGAGCCAGCGCCGCGCTGCCACAGCGGCGGCCGGAAGGGACGGTTTGGGCCCCGGCGAGCTCGCTCGATGATTGGCGGAGGCCGGGGTCGTGCTCCGGAAGCGGCTCGGCCATGTTGGTGGGTGACCCCGGCAGCGGTGCCGGGAGGCAGGCGGCGGCGGTGGGGTCCGCCGGTGGGCAGCGGTTGCCGTGAGGGCCTGGTCCGGCACGGTGAGTGCGCGGCGCCGGGCTTCAGGGGCCAGTGTGGGGTACGCCCGGGTGCGGGGCCTCGGCGGGGAGCGGGGGCTGCGGGCGGCCCCCCGCAGCCTCAGCAGGGTCCCATCAGAGAGCCCGTTATCCGCGGCGCGCCGTTAGACGGTTCCGTCCCTCTGGGAGGGAAAAGCTGACTGGGATCACTTCTCTGTAGGTTGCCGTCCCCGCGAACATCCCCCATGGCAGCGTGGTCCCGGCAGGCTGTGCTGAACCTCTACCGCGCTCTGCTGCGCCAGGGTCGTGGGCTGCGCTACACCGACCGGGATTTCTACCTGGCTTTCATTCGCCGCGAGTTCCGCAAGAACCAGGGGCTACAGCGGCTGGAGGACAAGGAAAGGCAGTTGGAGAAGGGGCAAGCTTTCCTGCAGAGCAAGCTCGGGGGCCTGGTCTAGAGAGTCCCTATAGTTCCTTTTGGCCCCACTGCCATCTTCCTTCCAAATACCCTCGCCAACCGAAAGAGATGATTAACGCTCCCTGACCACCATTGCCTTGAAGAAGCCCGGAAGGTGCCTTCACAGGCACAGCAGAAGGGCTCTCCTCGTTACAAATGCATTAGGTCACAGGTAGGTCATTTACAGTGATACAACCGTGTTCTTTGCATTGCTGTTACGGTTAGCTTTGTGAAAGTGCATTTTTTCTGCCTAGGGATGAAGAGTGATTGGGTTCCTGGTTCATCCCGGTTCATTCAGACTGAGGTTTAAGCTTGGTCTTAGAAAGACCTAAGGACAGTTTTAAACTACCCAAGTCGGGCAGAGTCTGAGCTTTTGGCACTGGCTTAGAAAACAGATTTTGATTCAGATTGTGGGAGTTTCGTGGTGTTTTCATGCCGTTTGACTGAGGACCCCTGTATGGGTATAGCGGTGGCAAAGTGTGTTTTACACATGTCATTCGCCAGGGAGACTCTTTAAAGTTAAACATCAAGATGAGGTTAAGTGGGAAATAAAAGTACGCATGTAAGAAAACATTAAGGTTCATTGTCTAAAAACTGATTCTGGGAGTGGATTCTCTGAAGCTTCTGATTTGTTATGGGTACGCAGTTGACCATCCCTGCATTGCCTTGTCTGTGAGCAAAACTACATGCATTAGAATAAGAAAGTAAATTAGCATAAAAAGCACCGTGCTTTGTTTGAGAAGCCCAGGTTTAAAAGACCTGAATGGTCTTAGAGTTTTACATAATAGACAGGATTTTATTGCAAAATATTGCTCAAGTGTTACTTTCTTTTTTAAAAAGCATTAGGTGATTGCACAGTTATAGAATCATAGAATGGTTTGTCTTGGAAAGGACCTTAAGATCACCTAGTTCCAACCCCCTGCTATGAGCAGGGATGCCTCACACTAGACCAGCTTGCTCTGGTCCACGTCCAACCTTGAACACTGCCAGGGATGGAGCATTTACCACTTCTTTGGGCAGCCTGTTCCAGTGCCTCACCACCCTCACAGTAAAGAACTTCTTCCTTATATCTAACCTGAACTTCCCCTCCTTTAGTTTAAACCCATTGCCCCTTGTCCTATCACTACAGTCCCTGATGCAGAGTCCTTCTCAGCATCCTTGTAGGCTCCCTGCTTTGATTAGAAGCCCCGCATCAAATCTGGGATATCTTTCTCCAGGTTAGAAACGGAGCTGAAAGCAAAAGAAATGCTGTCATTGCAGAGCTTGATCAATACTGTTATCATGTCTGAGAATAAGCAGCTTTCTGAGGGAAGATAATTAAAGAGGCTGCAGAATTAGGTAGTCCCTTCCTATGGCTACATGCTAGCAGCCCAAGAGCTGTGAGCATGGAGTGGAGGAGAAGGGAGTGAACTGTTGGGGTTGTGTGTTTTGACCTGTTTGCTTAATGCTTCTGCTCCTTCCAGGTGAGATGGCGGGCGCTGGGCAGCGCAAAGGGAAGAAAGATGACAACGGCATCGGCACAGCCATTGACTTTGTGCTGTCCAATGCTCGGCTTGTGCTGGGTGTGGGTGGAGCTGCCATGCTGGGCATCGCCACGCTGGCTGTCAAACGGGTGAGCCACGGGGGCACCGGGGTGCTGGAAAGAGGGAATGGGAAAAGCCCCCAGGATGCTGGTGCTAGGCTGGATAAAATGCAAGTGATAGGCTCTTAACGACTCAAACTGTGCCTGCTGATGTTTCTTTAGATGTATGACCGGGCAATCAGTGCTCCCAGCAGCCCCACTCGCTTGAGCCAGTCGGGAAAGAGGAGCTGGGAAGAGCCAAACTGGCTGGGCTCCTCCTCACGCTTACTGACCCAGGACATGAAGACTAGCCTCAGCCGTTCCCTGCAGACCCTTCCCACTGATCCTTCAGCTGCAGACACGGGTAAGGAGCAGGGGGATACTTCTGCATTACAGAGTTGTCCAGGCCTGTAAACCTTGTATTCATTTAAAGGGTCACAGGAAAAAGAATGCTCTGTCTAGCTCAGGGATTTGATATTTTCTTTTAAACAAGTCTGTTGGTAACTTCAAGAATTAAAAGTCAGGTTGGAAAGTAGTAAATAATAGTCATCTGTTTGCATTCTTAATTCCTCTTATGGTTTTGAGCTTTATTCTTCCTCAGTCTTTTATCTTTCAAGCTGAATACTTACCTGGGCAATCTTTCCTGATAAAAAAACATCCCACTCCTTTCAAGCTCTTTGTTGCTTTTTTAGACCATTCCAGTTTGTTTGTGGGTTGTTTTTTAAGAGGGGAATATGCAAATTGTGAACGTACTAGCGTTTTATAACAGTATTTTCAGTGTTATTTCTACCATTTTCCTAATAATTTCTGTAATGCTGTTTGCCTGTTTAGTGCTGTTTATCACTAAGTTAGTCTTCAACAGGCTACGAAAAGTGACCTGCAATTCTCCTTCTGAGTGGGATAGTAAGTAATTTAGAGTCTCTCAGTGTTTGTTGTATGTGTTTGCTTGTTTTTTCTCACTGATTTTATCTTCTATCCCTGGTCACTTCAGGAGAGATATACCTGGAGATTTAAAGTAAAAATTAGGATCAAGCTTTTAACTTGATTTCCAGATTCTCTGAAGGAAAGTCAGCTTCAGGATGGCAGTGGATTTTCTGCTGAGGATTAGGCAGAGCTAGGCAGCTGTGTTAAATGGGGTTTAGATCATTTGATCAGAATCCCCAAAGATGAGTATTGAGGAATACAACCACTGATGATGGTGTCTTGCATTCTTGACTTAAAAATAACTTAAAATGGAAAAATAAGGGATTTTTGTTTCATGAACAGGCAATGAAGTCTGGTTCCCTGTGGTTTTGTGGGCCATTTCCATTTCACACAAAACCTCAGATCTGTCCAAAGCCTCCAGTGGGACAAGAGACAGCAGCTGCTGAGGTTGGGCAAGATGTGTTTGTGTGCAGCTTGGTCAGCCATTCTGCATGTGCTGCGTGGCCAAATGCCTGTTGCCGAACAACTGTGCGACAGCTGATTGCCTTAATGGGGCCACTGACTTGGGTTTTCTCCTGCACCCGTTAGGTACTAGAGCCCTTCCAATGACCTCTTAGATCTGTAGTTCTCATTCATAACTTCTGAAACTCTTGGTCTGTGTTAAAAGAATTCTGAAAGATAGATGGAAACACTGCCATTTCTTTAGGAAGCCAGTCAGACAAAAAAGGGGCTTAGAGAATGTGTGCAGGTTAGACACTGCTTAGTAATGCAGGCGGCAGCATGAAGCATTGTATTGTGCCTAAGAGTGGGTCCTCTTTTCTTTGGACAGTGAAAGCTTGAGGGAAGTTTGCGTTTGGGGCTGTGACGGCCTGAGCTCTGCTAGCCCCAAGGTCTGTCACCTCATCATCCTGATAAGTGTTGGTCAGGCTCCTAACAACTATTTCATTACACGGTGGTGTGATCTCCTCTGATCTTATTCCAAATCCATTATAATGTTAAAAACATAGTGAGATAGTGATGGTTGTTGAAGAGTGTCTTATCCACTGGTCTGGCATCATGCTGAGAGCTTCTGAACTGGTAACAGTGCTGAATTTTTGATGAAATTGAACTGGGGTGCTGCCCACATAACCATTAACGTCATGTCAAGGAAGTAATCTTGGTCTGTTCTGGCTAAATTCCAAATCTAGTAACTTGTTTTCATCTGGTTTGTTGCTTGTAGTAGTATCTTTTGAAGTTTCTCAGCACCTCCCTTTTGACTGGTACCTGTGTAAAGCATGCAAAATGTCTGCTAAAAGCTTTCTGAGACTTCGGAGGCTGCACTTCGCACTGCAGATTTTCTTCTGCAGATCACTTCATGGTGAGACACTGCAGAGGATCAACAGTTTTCCTTCTGTCTTGCAGACTTCTTCCGACCCACAAAGCCCAAGCCATCTGCCAAGAGGAGTCAAGTGGACCTGAAAAAATCTCGCCTTCGCCTGTCTCTGCAAGAAAAGCTTTTTGCTTATTATCGAAGGAAGGTGGCTATCCCAGGAGATGAGCAGGCCCGGGCCAAGCAGGCAGCCGTGGATATCTGTGCTGAGCTGCGCAGCTTCCTACGTGCCAAGCTGCCGGACATGCCCCTGCGTGACATGTACCTCAGTGGCAGCCTCTATGATGATCTGCAGGTAATTCCTGGGGCCGCATGACAGGTCATTATCCAGAAGGCTGACAAGGCAGGGGCATCTCAGGCTTCCCTGTTGGCAGTGCTGTGTCAGCACAGCATTCCTCTGTAATAAAAGGCTCCTGGTGTCGCCTTTCCCACAGTGGAGCCAGGCATTTATTTCTGCAGTACTGTTGGAACAGGCATGACCAGGCTGCTCTGGCACTGTTGGCAAAGCATTTGCTTTCTGCTGGTTTATTTCTCTGGATTATCTCAGCCCTTCTTTCCTTCCCCTCTGACCCTCCCTTTAGCTGTATCTTGCTGTTTCTCTGGTAGACCTGTGTTTTCTCTCAGTCCCTTCTGTCTCCTTCCACATACATGATATTCCCCTAGAACTCCTGTGTATTCATACAGGTCTTCCCTTGGACAGCAGCCCCTGCTGCATATCTTCCTGATGTGAAGGTGCCCATGGCTATAGTGAGTGATTCAGAGGCACGCTTTTTTGTTTGAGTCAGAGCTCTGGAACGGAGTGTCGAGGGTCCAGTGAAACTTAGATCTGAGGTCTTAATCACATTGGTGAAAAGGGATCGTTAATGACCTTTTTCCAAACAACATAGCAGACCAGGTGAGGGCAGTACCTGGTTGTACAGTGGGATAATTAAACTTTGCCAATTTAAGTTTGTTTAGAAACTCTATACTCTGCTTCCTGTTTTATATTATCATGTGCTGCTGTGCCCTGGGTTAGCTGCATCTCACATCCAAGGAGTGGACTTAGAGTAATAGGAGGCAAAATGAGTCATCTATATGCAGTCCATGATAGGTCCTGAAGTATTTAAAGATTTCTAAGTAGGACATACCGTATAAGCACTAGCTGGGGTTTTACCTTGGAGTTATCCCCCTGATCATGGGAAATAGTCCTTCAGAACATCCTTTGACAAAAGGAGGCAGTGAATCCCATACAGAGAGGAGGGTGAAGACAGCTGAATCCTTATTCCAGGTTCCTTTGAACAGAAGGCTATTTAAAGGTGGGGGATAAAACTGAGTGTGGCGAGGGACAGCATGTTCTTACTAACTTTTCTGTCTTGTGAAAGGTAGTGACAGCTGACCATATCCAGCTCATTGTGCCTCTGATGCTGGAGCAGAACCTGTGGTCATGCATCCCCGGGGAGGACACTATCATGAACATTCCTGGCTTCTACTTGGTGCGTCGGGAAAACCCAGAGTACTTTCCACGTGGAAGCAGCTACTGGGATCGCTGTGTGGTGGGGGGTTACCTTTCCCCCAAAACTGTAGCAGACACCTTTGAGAAAGTTGTAGCTGGTTCCATCAACTGGCCAGCAATTGGGACTCTCTTGGATTACGTGATCCGTCCAGCAGCTCCCCCAGCTGATTTGACACTGGAAGTCCAGTACGATCCAGAACGACATCTATATATTGACTTCCTTCCATCCCTGACTCTGGGTGACATCATCCTTGTGGCCAAACCCCATCGATTGGCCCAGAATGACAATTTGTGGCGACTGAGCCTGCGGCCAGCAGAAACAGCTCGCCTCCGGGCCCTGGACCAGTGTGATTCTGGCTGCCGTTGCTTATGCCTGAAGATCTTGAAAGCAATATGCAAATCAAACCCAGCCCTGGGTCACCTCACTGCCAGCCAGCTCACCAATGTCATCCTGCACCTATGCCAAGAAGAGTCCGACTGGTCCCAGGACATGCTGGCTGATCGCTTCTTGCAGACGCTGAAGGGGTTGATCCGATACTTGGAGGCAGGAGTCCTCCCTAGTGCTCTGAACCCCAAGGTGAACTTGTTTTCAGAGCTTACCCCTGAAGAAGTGGATGAGTTGGGCTATACTCTCTACAGCTCTCTGTCAGAGCCAGAGGTCTTGCTGCAGACATAATGGGGCCTTACCTAGAGAAGTATTGATAGGGTTTAGCCACAATGGACTTTGATTACCACGAAATATGTCTCCTCCATCTCTCTCTCTTTCTCTTTTTCTCTTCTCTTTCCTGTCCCTCCCCTAACCCACCCACCCCACCCTACCCTACCCTCCTGTTGGTTCATTATTATTTCCTGCTGTGGAGTTGGTGCTCCCACTGAATTTCTTGGTGCTACTGGTCCATTTCCACCATCTCTGTCCCAACAGGTACCCATTGGCTATGGAAAAGAGGCTAAAACTGCAGCTCTAAGATCCTCACATCCATTCTGCCAATATTTTAAGTGTCTACCAAAAAAAAAAACAAACCAAACCAAACTATGCACTTTTTTTTCCTGTAGTGCAGTTACTACAGTTGAGTCCATTTTGGTTTGAAGAAGGTGGAACTGGGCTGGTAAATCCAGTGACAATTTCAGCAGACTTGCATTGAGATCCTTTCCTCCACCCTGACTTTGCCCCATGTTTCTTTTTCCCTCCTGTTCCACACTGTCTCTTCCTTTATTTTGGGGGGTTTTAGGTCTTTTTTGGTCCCTTTGACCCAGTCATGCAGGGCAGACTGAGGGAGATGTTTTGGATAGGGTTGCTTTTTGTATTTCTGAGAGGTTAATGATGACACTGGCAGTATTTAGGGCTGTAGAGCTTGGAACGGGAGAATGCCCAGGGATCCTGCTCCTACAGAGCCACCTCATCCTTGGCAGCATAAGGGCTGAGGCTTGTCCAGTCTGCTGCAACACAGCTTCCAGTATGGGCAGTTCTCACTGAAGCCATCATAAGGGAGCAAGAAGCCTTTGTGGTCTGGCTGTGTTACAAGGCCAAAGGAGCAGGGCTTGCCATTCCTGCCTAGCCAGATCTGCTGGATGTTGCTGGTGGGAATGGCCCTGGGGAATGGAGAACAGGGCAGCTCATCGGATGCCTCTGGCCTAGAGGAAGAGAGGCTGATCATGGGGGAGGGGTGGGAGACACACATGGGAACAGGGATTATTTTTTCATCTTTTCCCTGGGAGATTATGGCTGTTCTGGTTTATAGGGGGTGGAAGCAGGACTGCATGCCTCAAAGGGCTCTGTGATAAGCACACGTAAGCCAGGTTCTCACCAGCCTTATATCTGTGAAGGTGACAGGACTGAACTGGTGTCATCAGCAAGTTTCTGTCTCATACACTGATATTAAGGTACATATGCAGAGATGGCATTTGGAGATATGTTGTCTTTGCCATCTGCTCTCAGTGTGTGTTTTAGTTCCCTCCCCAGCCACCTCAGAACTGAGGCTGTCCATCCCCTTCCTCATTCCCATGCGCTGACTTTCCAGTGCTCCCAGTTTACAATTACTCTTGGAAAGCTGGCGAGGGCACACCTTCCTGTTCTGTTTGGATCTGTTGGTAATGCAGTTCTGCCCACTCCTGCTTATGGTTGCTGTCAAGCTGTTCTCGTTTAGCTGCCCTCCCATTCACTGCTGACCGTGGTATGGGTTTCAGGGGGCAGCTGCAGCACTGCTGGTCTCCTGAACTAGCCACATAGTCTTTCTGTACTTTTAATTAAGCCTTCTGGCCTCTTGACTTCAAAGAGGGGGAGAGAAGGTGTCCTCCCGAGTCTCTCTCAAAGACCAGTTGTCATTACAGAAACATACCTTTTCCCACCTTTAGCACCTTCTTCCCCCTTGTTGTCCATCCTCCCTCGCCAATGGAGGGAGGTACTGCACCAGCAGTTTGGAGAGAGCATGAATCCTCTTTTCTTCCCTTCCTCTCAGGGCTTCCCCCATTTGACAGCGAAGTTTCAAGGTGTTCAGGAGTAGAACTACAGAGGGGAGTCTTTAGTCCTTGCTTTCTTTTTAGAGGCAGTGTTAGTGAGATGAGGGAGGGAGCATCTATCCCTGGACAATCCGTCCATTTTAGCCAGGATGTCAGATAGTATTCCTATACAGTGATAACGCAACGTTGCATTTTAAATTATTTAATCCTTAGGGTACTGGTATTTTTTAGACTGCCAGATGCATACTTTGAAGTCTGTGTGTGTATATAAAGTCTGTAAGTGTATAAAGGGTTAACACAAGTTTCATTTGTATGATTCTGTGTTTTGTAAGTTTTGCAGCAGTCAGTGTTGGTCAGCTGTTGATTGCTTTTCACTCTGGTTCCCAGATTTTCTTCCCCTCTTCCTTTCCCTGCTTTCCACTGCCTTTCTGATGTCAGCCTTCCTAGCCTAAAAGCAGACAGATGAGACTTGGAGCCTATGGGCTATTGGGGGAAATTCCCCTTTCTTTTAATTACTTGAAGGTCAACAAAAATATTAAAATATGTGGGTTGTCAGGAGTTCCCTGTAAGTTCATTTCTTCAGTGTCATCTCACCCCTTCACTTGGTGCTGACTCCAATACCGTGGTCTTCACGTAGAATGTTGTTGAGCAGGAGCATGGTTTGGAATGATCAAAACTATAGAAACAAAGAAAGGTGAGACACAAACAGAAGGAAGCCAATGTCTTAGCTGGCTTGTGTCACATACATATCTCTTTTTACACATGAATGCTTTTACTTCTTCCTGGCAACCTAATGAATTAATATTTTACGGCCATTTCTTGCTGCTATTGAGCTCAATTTGTGTATCAAATGGAGACTGAAGCTGCCTTTTTGCCTTTTCTGTAGCCTTTGCTCCACTTCACTTGAATCACTCCCATCAGTTCTTCCCTTCAGTTGTGTCCTCCTCTGAGCTAGCCACAAGCCCGTTCTCGGGAGGCAAATGCTCACTTCTACAGGCAGCCACCCCAGTGGGCAATAGCTGCCCTGGCAGTGGCAGTCTCAGCAGAGGCCAAAGATGTAATGTGTCACAGGGACACTGAAACGAGGAGTATTTCGAGAGTAGGGTCAGGCATAATTAGCAACAGAGGCCAGGAAGAAGGAGTAGGGTAAATCTTCAGGAAGCTTACATAATGCTGTACCCAGCCTGTGGGTCAGACAGACTGTTACAGCGTCTTTCGAACTGGATCCTTTCAGTATTAAACACAGTACATGTGGTGATGAACACACTGGAGGGCTCTCGCCTATGGTTAGGCTCCTTCCTAGTCAAAGCTATAGCACAAAGCAGGAGGACCTAAAGATGAATGTGAAGAGGGCAGCTCCCAGCCACCTTCCTGGCAGAGCTGCTCAGAGACAAATTGATTGTAAGAGGCCCAGAGCATGCGTTTGGTTGGTTGCTGCCTGGGCTCTCAAGGATGCTTCCCACGAGATTGTAGTCTTGTTCCCTGTAACCATGGGGCGAGGACCAACTTGCTTAGCTGTGGGGTTTCACTGTTGCTGAGCTCCACTGCTAATCCTTAAAGTCAGATGGATTTCTTTTCCCACATGTTTAAAAGCAATTATGAAAGAAAGTGGCTACTTTCTGCCTCCTGGTGAGCTGCTGTCAGGGCCCTTACTCTTAGTTAGCATGTGGGTACTTGCAGTGAGAAATGAAGAGATGATGCCCCATCTCTCCTAGGCCTGGAGGCTGCAGATTTGCAAAGGGGAAAGTCTTAAGTGCATGGTCTGTGACAGAGTGTATGAGATTCTGGAATAAAATGACTTTCCACAGTTCCGTGGTTGTCTCTGGTGTGTTTATAAACAAAGGAGCGTCTCTCAGCGCATCACCTTCACCCTGACATAATTCTGCACCACACCAGTAGCGTGGTGTCAGTCTCGGCTTGGAGACTGACGTGCCCCTTGCTGATTCACTTGCTTTCCCTTTGTGGCTCTCTGCAACTTGTCTTGAGAGAGCAGTCAGCTCGGTGCTGCAGCTCGCTGGCTCCTGGCAGCATTCGCGTCAGTCACAAGATGATGTGTAATTACAGTGCTGTGCCTCCCATCCTTTCTCTGATAGCCGCATGCCTGGGCAGGCACCTGCTTTTCATGTGGCTCCCCAGACTTCGCAGGCTTCCATGCCTCTTAATATTAAACTTTCCTGCGCAAGCTTCCCTGCCCTTGCTCAGTTGTGTTTCTTTCTCCATGCCCATCCTGTCCCTGGCCAGCTGTGCTCCTCCACTTATCCAAGCATCAGCCTTGAGGCAGTGAGGAAGCCGCTGTGCCAGGGGCCTGTGTCTGATCTAATCGAAGCTCTTCCAAGTAAGACCCAGATCTATGTGCCTGCTTGGGGTGGGGCAGAAGTGTTGAACGTCAAGTAAAGCACAAAATGATGCTGCTTTTGATGGATCCCAGGCTCCTTACTTGTGGGAAGGCATTCTATGGGGACATTGTCCTATGAGACTTGTTTTAATGAGGACTCGGCAATTAGCATTTAACAATCTTGGAGGCTCAGGGGAGACCTTAGAGCAGCTGCCAGTACCTAAAAGGGGCCTACAAGAAATCTAGAGAGGGACTTTTTACAAGGGCATGTAGTGACAGGACAAGGGGGAATGGCTTTAAACTGAAAGAGGGGAAATTTAGGTCAGCCATGAGGAAAAAGTTCTTCCCTGTGAGGGTGGTGAGGCCCTGGCACAGGCTGCCCAGAGAAGCTGTGGCTGCCCCATCCCTGGCAGTGTTCAAGGCCAGGTTGGACGGGGCTTGGAGCAACCTGGTCTAGCGGAAGATTGGAACTGGGTGTGCTTTAAGGTCCCTTCCAACCCAAACCAGTATGGGATTCTATGATACAAAGGGAATCTACATCTCTAACGTTTTGTTTGGGTTTTTTTTCTGATACCCCTCACCTGTGGTGTTTTGGGATTTTTCCTTTAATCTGTTCTGTGCTAGATACAGATCATACAAGATCAAGCATGTTACACATCGTATGGAGCCTTATAGGAATAGCTAAAATGAACTGCTTTGTGCAATCTGTGCCAGGCAATACAGCCTCAAGTTAATGCCCCTGGAAAGCCTAGAGCTTGCAATACATGTTTAATGTATGCAGTGGTTTGCACTTTTGCATAAAAGCTGTCCTGGCATGAACAGGGAGGAAAGATCAAAAGATACGGATTTGTTTAATGGAGTGAAGAAATAATTGAGGGGAGTCAGGGTAATTATTTCAAGTATGGAAAAGGTTGCTACAAAGAACAGCATAAATGGTTCTCCAGGCTGCAAAGACTCTGTGTCTCTCCTCTTCTTAGCCTAAGGAACAAATGGCTTAGGAGGAAGATGAATTTTGGAAAAAGCAAAATATTTTGCGTGCTTTGTTATATAACCAGGGCCCTGTCCTGGAAATGAAGCAGTAAAATTACATTTTACTGATTTATTTTTGCCTGTCCTCATTTTAAACAAATAAATAAATAAACTCCAGCCTGACTATCCTGTGGCTGATCTTAGGCTGGGGGAGAGGGGGAGAGGATGACTGTATCCCAAATATGAGATTATCATGCTAAAGCATTGAACTAGAGGATGAATGTTTCTTTTCTTCCCCAAAGACTTCATCGCCTCTGAGGGGATTTTCAAGGTTTATTTTGATACTCTAAATTCTGGAAAAGATGCAGACAGCTGCTGCTTTTTAAATTTAGTTTCATGGAAAAAAGAGGGGCCTCTTCCAAATGAGAAGGCTCTCTTCCAGGTAAGATAAAATACAGTGCTCTGCTCCCTGCACTTGGGTGTGATTCGATGGCTCCAGAATGGCTCACTGAATCTGCAACTGGATCTTGAAACGCTGGGCTTTGCTCAGAGATGCAGCAAGCAATAAATGGGAGATTTCCCCTCCTGCCAGTGAAACTCAGTATTGGCTCCCAGCCCTAGGAGGACTGCTGCAGTCTAGACACTTGGGGAACTGTTTGAGGTATCTGGATCTTACCTTCTTTATCCTTGTCAGGCTGAGTTACGGTCTGAGAGATTCAACAAATATCCTCCCGCTCCGTTTTTTAGGATTCAACTTAAAACAGCTCTCATGTAACAAGTATGTCCTCTACACAATGGGGGATAGCACAGTCTAAATGTTTTCCTAGTGTACTCTGAGAAGGGCAGCATTACCCATGAGTCACAGAGCCAGAAATGTGGTGGCGAGCAGGCTAATAATATCTTCATAGTATGTGATCCTGCATAATACTGCAAAGGTAAGGCAAAAAAAGAGTGGTCTAACCAACAGGTAAGGCATAGAAGATCTGAAATCATTCTCTACATTAAAGCGTTCTCATCATTTTATGAATAGCAGGAGAGTGGGAGACAGAGTTTGGCTCGTGGAACTCAACTTTTCATGGTCTTAAGCTTTCCTAAGTACTCACGCAGAAGTCAGTTCTGAACAAAATCACTTTAAACACGCTAAAAGTGAGATTGATTTTTATTTTGCTGCCCTGGTTCAATTTCCCTGGCTCCAGTGGCTAAGTAGCTCTTTGATCTGTCTATTAACACTTAGTGCTAAGCTTCTCAGGGGAAATATATATACACATCAATTCTAACCACATTCTTCGTGGAAAGCCATCTCTCACAAATAAGAAGCAAAAGTTGCTTGTCTGAGTTTTCAGGTTTGTTTTGAATCTTCTTTTTTAGGCAACAGTTACTTCGGTGCAAGCCAACCCCTTCCCCTGCCCCTCAGCACGGTAGAATTGTCACTGATCCACAGAAGCACAGGAATGATACACTGTGCCATCAGTCATCCCACTACAATGATCCCAGTCCGGTAAGTCTCTCTTGTCTCATTCTGCTCAGCCTTCTAAAGAACAGAGACCTAACAGGCAACAGACACATGGGCATAGATGCCAAATGATCTTGGCTCTTCACATGTCCTGTCAGACACTGCTTCAAAGCTCACAATGCCCTGGCAGGCTCCTTACCCCCTCCAAAAAGCAAGAAGCAATCACTCCTGGAAGCAGTGTGGCAGCAAGACATTTTTGCCTTCAAGTTCTTAAATTTATTCAGCACAGAGGATAGTTACAGCCTTGGACTTGATAACTACTGCCGATTATACAGATAACACAGTCTGAATTATGTTCGACTCCTGCCTGTTCACAGCAGCAGCGGTACGCTGTCAGAGAGCCTGCGATGCGCTGAAGCAAAGGTAGAACAAGACAGGAATCCCATAAGCCACAGAGCTGCAGCTCCCATACTGCTTGTTAAGAGGGCATATTGGCAGGGGCCCAGCTTCCTGGCATTCATGTGGAGGTTAGGTTTTGCTGAGGCAAGCGCGTGACCAAGGCATAAGCCTTCTCTTACCCAAATCAGTGCCTGTGGCTGTGAGAGAGACAGTAGAAATCATCTTGTACAATGAGCTAATGATTCGGATTAGGAATACTTCTCCTTTCTTTTTGTTTTTGTTTTGTAATTTATTTCTTATGTAAGAAGAGAAAATTCATAAAAAGAATGATTCATCTTCAGTTTGTCACTTTGCATAACAAAAGAAGATGCCTGGTGTCACCAGCAGGCTGGACTTCCAAGTCTTGTGGCCTGGGACAGACTTCACCCTTCTGTGGTCAGACAGAGCCTGCCCTGCCTAGAGGAGACCTATATTTCTGATAAGTGCTCATCATCTAAATCATTCTCACTGAGACTGCATGGCTAAGGTGAATAGCTCAAATGTTACCTTCCTGAACAGCACCTATGTTGCCTCAGCCCCAGTGATGTCTACTGTCATCATGATCCCAGTACAAGGCCTCAACAAAGTCTCTCACTTTGAGTGCCAAAAGAGCAAGCTAGCAGTGCCTCCCTCCCCAGCAGAGGTGGGTTGCTGTGGCTGGTTTCTCAGGCAGATCTGGCTTTGGCCTCCAAACAGCTCCCTCAGCACTCAAGCACAGAAACCTCCTCTTGTTAAAAGAACTGCAAACCTCTCTCACCATGTGCCACAGTGATACCAGTAAGAGGGGCAGTGGATTGAGAAACCACAGCACCTATTCAATACAATACTTTGGCCACAAAGTCTTCTGCGACTATTACCTAGTTTGCCCATGGCCAGTCCCCCTGTAACACATCTGAGGAGCCTCTGCTGAGGCCACCCACAAGCCCCTGTGCAAGTTCAGGGAGCAGAGCATTCTCCAAGTCTTCTGGAAGAATTTTCTTTCTGACATCGTTTGCCAACTCTCCTAACAAGAGACCTTAGGAGGCAAAATTACAGTCATTTGGGAAAAAGCTATAAACGAAATGATATCTCAACTGCATCAACATCTGCCAAGACTTTCTCTCTCCTCCTCTGTAAACAAGTATATATTAAAACAGATTGAAGCCTGCTGGTAAATTCCAGCCACTGAGCAGCTGCTGCCTCTGAAGACTGGAGATATATTACTGAATAATGTCTGCAGCGTTCTTCCCCAAGGAGCTGGGGAGCTACAGCCTCAATAGTGATTTATCCCCAGATGAGTTTCAGAGCTTCATGGGAACTAGCTGTTTTGTCAGTGTTCCTGCTGAAGCTCCCTGCCAGCATCAGAGATAAAGAGATCTCTCTCACACACAAGATATCCCCAGGATTCTGGTTTGTTTCATTAATAGGGTATACCTGTTCACAGTCTTTCCTCCCAGCCTTATCAAGACCCTCTGAAGTTATGTGAAGTTAATAACAAATCCCCAGTTGGAGCACACAGAGCATAGTCTGGTACTTCACCAGCCTTTCACTGTGCATCTCCCCTCACTGAACAATAACTCAAGCTCAAATAACCTTTCCACCCTCTTCAGATGAAGCTGCGAGTTTAGATGCCAGGTTCAGGTGTGCAGTGTGATGGCTACTGGAATGATAAAGGAAGGAGTCCTTGTGCTGAGAAGTGTAAGGGGCACTGAGACAGTCAAAGACAAATCCACTGCAGTGACCACAGGCTGTTAACTCACTCACTGGTGTCTGTGGCTGTCTGAGATGCTGCAGTCTCATAATCCATACCTGCTTGTGAGGCCTCAGCTCTTGCTAGCTTCACACTGTCAGGAAGGAGGAAATGCGTATCACCACTCTCCATCCTTTTGCACAGAAAGACACAAGGTTGGTTGGATTTGATGATCTTAAAGGTCTTTTTCAACCTAGCTGATTCTATGGTCGGGCAAAACCAGGCACAGGTACATGTTGGGCGGAGAAAAGATTCAGAGCAGCCCTGCGGAGAAGGACTTGGGCGTGTTGGTTGATGAGAAAATGAACATGAGCCAGCTTCAGTGTGCCCTCACAGCCCAGAAAGCCAACCATATCCTGGGCTGCATCAAAAGGAGCGTGACCAGCAGGTTGAAGGAGGTGATCCTGCCCCTCTACTCTGCTCTCGTGAGACCTCACTTGGAGTATCGTGTGCAGTTCTGGTGTCCTCAACATAAAAAGGATATGGAACTGTTGGAACAAGTCCAGAGGAGGGCCACGAGGATGATCAGGGGACAGGAGCACCTCCCGTATGAAGACAGGCTGAGGAAGTTGGGGCTGTTCAGCCTGGAGAAGAGAAGGCTGCGTGGAGACCTCATAGCAGCCTTCCAGTATCTGAAGGGGGGCTATAGGGATACTGGGGAGGGACTCTTCATTAGGGACTGTAGTGGTAGGACAAGGGGTAATGGGTTCAAACTTAAACAGAGGAAGTTTAGATTGGATATAAGGAGGAAGCTCTTTAATATAAGGGTGGTGAGGCACTGGAATGGGTTACCCAGGGAGGCTGTGAATGCTCCATCCCTGGTGGTGTTTGAGGCTGGGTTGGACAGAGCCTTGAGTGACATAGTTTAGTGTGAGGTGTCCCTGCCTATGGCAGGGGGATTGGAACTGGAGGATCTTAAGGTCCTTTCGAACCCAAACCATTCTATGATTCTACGATTTTAAGGTACCTGGCATGTGCAACTCCAGCAGATGCTGAAAACATACAGATAAAGACATTTTGATATGCACTGAACACAGAGCTTGCAGTGGGGGTCACGTAAACTACAGCCCCATGGAGAACAACAGTTGACATGAGGTATGTTTCCATTCTTTTATTGCTTGGACAACTGGAAGGCTTTTGTTTGTATCCCACATGTGCTCATACACATGTGGGATTATTCTTGACCCCCAAGTCCTTTCATCATAATAAAATAAGGCTGGACAATGAAGTAACAAAAAAAATCCCCCAATGTTTGGAACAAAAGCCAGCCCTCTCCTCCCTCCCCTTGCACATATTTTTTGTTAAACATAATTTTCAACCAGTTGTAGCTTTGTTCAGGAAATTCATGCTTAGGCAAGTTACAAGTTGAAACTCACCTCCCTCTTACCAGATTTGCACAATGTTTTTACTTCTGGCAGCTGGCCACAGCCTGGCCAATTCTGAGTAACAAAGCCTCTGGAGGGCCATATTTTGTGAGCTAGCAGCATGTGCTTGGCATGCCCACATTTGTTCAGTAAAAAAAATGTAGGTGGACAATGAGGATTATTTCCATAGCTGACTAAAATAATTGAACTGTAAGTTGCAAAAGTAAATTGCAAATTTAATCCTTTTTTTTATTAGTCTCATTTCAAATGTCAGTGATATTTACATAACAGGACAGAAGGAGAAGACAGTGAGGGGGTGGGTAAGCAATGAATGACTTATTAGAGATTCATTTAGTGTACTAGTCCAAAACAAACGGGGTAGAGCATATGGTTAACTTATTTTCTGTTTGCGTGTAATCAAAGATGGACGCTAATACCTCCCAGCCTGATCTTTAATCATATATATTTGCTTTTCAATCGAGTTTTAAAATGGAACGTCTATAAAGCAATCCCTAAAGAGCTTGGTATGAGAATCTGGCAGAAAAGATCCTTCAGATATCTGTTTGTGCCGCATGAGGAGAGAAGCAACCGAGCACTGCGATTAGCCTGTGTTGTAGAGGCTGTAGGTAACTCTCCCTGAAAATTGTTCGAAGTGTCTAGCTGCTTTGCCTCATTCCTCCCTTCTGTTTCCTCAGCTCTCTGTCTCCAGGAAAAATTCCTGCTGGTCTCTGGAAACTCTTTCCTCACTGAAGTACGGGTCAGGCTTCCTGTCCTTTCTGATGGAAGGGTCAAAGAATAGAAATTATTACAAGAATCCCCTCAGGACTCACCTCACACTCATCCTTCTGCAAAGCAGGCAATGCTCCCTCCTCCCCAGCCACACCAGCAGGGCTGAGGGCTGGCCAAAAGCCCATCTGACCCTTCTCCAGCACACCGAGGCTCAATGGGGGCTCAAAGCTGCCTGCCCAGTGAAACCATGGGGTGATGTGCCCTCTTGATGCAGTGTCTGCCAGCCCTCCTCCCTGGCTGCAGCTCTCCCAGTACTCCAGGAAAGAAAAGACATCTCCATCTCTGCTACTTCTGCTGGTTACCCTCCTGGCCCCAGCAATACATACTGCCCTCACTTCAATCCCCTGCTACAGAGGCCCATGACTACTTCCCCCCCTTGACAACCCCTGCGAGCATCCTATCCAGGCGGTCTAGACTGAGCGAGGAGATGTTACTATGGAAACATTGACGTCTTCCTTGTCTTTTGTGCACTTAATAACATAGTATTCAGCATGTTTATCTCCTGTATAGTTGCTGGTGGAAGAAGAAAACCTCTTCTCCTTTGCCACATTAATTTAAAAAAACCAAAACCCCAACAAACCAACCCATATATTGACCTTCATCTTAATGAAGGAGGAGGGTGAATGGAGGAGCATCGTTCCACCTCCTGGTGCTGCTGTTTGCCTGGAGGTGGCTTTCTGCAGTGCTGCGCTTATCAGGGCAGTTCATCGCTCCCCAGCAAGGTCACTTTGGCCTCTCTCCTGCAGTGAGCTCTGTACTAGCCGCTCCTATCTCCTGCGGCTGGCCCCTCGCTTTCTGTGTCGGACTGGATCTTACTTATCACACCAGCTCTGTTTGCCGACGTACAGTAGCCAGGGCAGGAAAATAACATCCACAGTGCTAAAGCTGTTAACATGTCAGCAGGAGTTCACTGACCATGCACATAAATTAATCTTTATTCAGAAGCTACCTTTTTTCGCTGTAAATTCAATTTTCTCCAGAGCTGCCAGGCTTCTTGACCTTCAAGCTACAAATATATTCTGTAATGCTGAAAAGGAATACTTTTTAGACACTTGAGTTAGTAGTGGGCTCTCTGCCTAGAAAATACTTGTAGATTTTTTTCTTGTACAAGAAAAAACTACAAATATTTCAACAAAAATTCCCAAGGAGTTGTTACTTGGGCTTGAGGGAGTATCTTCTACCTCAGTCAAAAACCCTAACCACAAAGGAGAAACCTCCAACTTAATATGTGCAAATGCAGAGAGACAATTTATAAAGGAATTGCAGTTGAAATGAAAATTCATGCTCGTGAAATGATGTAGCAACAGTAATTCTGCAGTCCTTCAGAAAACACAGAAATATGCTGTTCACTAAATGGCTGGCTTCTCATTATGGGATTTTGCTTTTTGGATTGGAGATTGTTAAAAATGCAGACAAATTTCCACAAAAGTCTACAGAGAAAATGGAAACCACACAGCAAGGAAACCGGCAGATCTGGGCTAAGTTCCTCATTGCATGTTCCATTTTTTGCTTGCGTGATTCTTGCTCACACATACCCAGAGTCCTTTCAGAGAAATCTATAATTATCTTTACAAGATGAAGGCTTGGGTGTGTATAGAATTTCTGTTTATTTAGCTATGATTACAGTTGTACAATCACCTTTTCACTTAGAGCAGGGGCAAGCAGGTGAGACCTGGGAATGTGAAAGCTCTCCCTCAGCTAGTGAGGACAGGGAGATGCTGTCCACCCATCCAGTCACTCACTTGGCTTCTTTAAAAGCTGCTGCATCCTCTAAGCTTTGCTTTGAAGCAAGATCTGTCTGCTCTGTGGTGTATCTAATCAGAACAGTCATCTTAGATCTCTCAGTTGCTACTGTGGTATTTTCTGGCATTGGAGGACATTTTTCCCTGCCTCCTCCATTTTAATGAGTCATTCCAAAATCCGTGCTTGCATCTAGACAAAAAACAACCCCCAAAACAAACTACTAAACAACATGGAGGAAAACCTGACTTTTTCATTCAGCAGTAGTGTTCAGCTTACTGATGTGAGTGACAGACTCTGCTTTTAGTGCTGATGGTAACATCAGCCTGCTAAAAGTAAAAACTGGGTCATGCCTGTCCTCACAAATTATCAGCCAAGCTGTTTAATGAGTTCCAGGCAGTTACACCTGAGCAAACTCAGTGAAGGCCATGGCTTTATACAAATACTACTGAGGGCTTAAGTGGAAAATAGAGGAGCCTTTCATAGAAGTATGTGAGAGCAAGGTGACCTGCAAGATGATAATGTTTGAGCAAGCGAGGGCTGACCACAGCACTCAGAGGTGACGGTGTGCTGGTTGGGAACATGGAAAAGCAACTGTTCGAAACTGGGTAACTCTGACATAGTAAGGAAGCACACAGGTACCAATCACTGGAGCTAACCGATGCTTGACTGACCCCAGTGAAATGATGAGGGGACTGAAACTAGCAGAAAACTCTTGACTCCTGTGAGTTTCCTGCTGGGTTAGCTGGCTGAGCTGGCTCACTGAGGCAGATCTCACAGAGCAGACAGGAACAGGAATGGAGAAGGTTGCCTTCTTTCCTAGCATCAAGCTGATTTAGATCAGATAAAACATAATGTGAAATTGCACTTTAAAAACTTTCCTAAGTGACGCTGCTCTTTAGAGCTGTGAAGCTATGTAGGTTATCCATTAATGCTCACATTGGTCGGAGTAACATCTGAACAGAGAAGCAACTGTGTCAGTGTGAAACTGCATGGCAGGAGAGGAAGTTTGGAAATTCTGGGGAACAGCCAACTTCATTTTTCAGCATTTGCATGGGTTAAAGGCATTAATTAGACTCATGCTCTCCGCTGCTCAGGAGCACAGATCTGCATGACCGCTCCAGGTCGGAATTGTGCCATAGCAGCTGAGAAGCACCCTCACACAGGCAAACACACAGCCTGTGCCCTGAAACAGCCATAATCGAAGTGCTGCACGTGTGAGGCAGGCAGGGAGAGAAGGCGATGCTGTCCTGGGCTGACACCTTATCTGGTGGAGCAGGCGGCCATGGCGCCCACTGCCTCAGCACGTCAGGGGAGCCATGCCAGCGCCTTGGCCTGAGCAGCAGCTGTCAGCCCCAGCCTCACCTCAGCAGGACTCTGTGGAGAGAACAAAAGGGGCTGCTGGAAACCACAGGGACACACACACACACATAGTGCTTCGAACGCGACAGATCAGCAGAGGCGCAGGGCTGCGGTGATGGGCGCACGGACAGCTCCAGCACGTCACCCCCCCCAACCCCTACCGCCGCCATTTCCCTGCCCCTGCACTACCCCCTTCTCTCCTTGCCCCCTCCACAGCTGGCCTCCTCTGGGCCCTGGCCAATAACAGCTCTACGTGCACGTGAACAACTCGTCTCTAAGCCAATGAGAGGGCCCCTTCCCACGTGGCGGTCTGCGTGCGACCTCCTGTCAGCCCCTCTCATCCCCCTCCCAACCTCCCAGGAGCGTCCTCAGCTGCTCTGGTCACGTGATACCGACGATCGCAAGAGGGCGGAGGCGCGGAGGTACACCATAGAGTCCCTCCGCCGCCGCCGCTCCGGTTTGGAGGGGCAGCTTTTCTCTGCCTCTCCTGCGTTTGCCTCGGGCCAGAATAGAAAGAGATAAGCCCACAGAGACAGGGTACAGGCCAGCGGGCGCTGGAGAGAGGCAGGTGACGCTGGGCGGAAGGACACCTCACGGCCGGATCTTGTTTTGCTTCAGGCGGTTACTATATAAGCGCGGCGCGCGGGCGGTGTCGCCTCATTGTCCGCCTGAGCCTTGATGAGAGAAGTGGTTTTGCGAGTGTCTGGGCGCGCAGCAGCTTCCCGCGCGGCGCGGAACGGAGCAGCCTCCCCTCCCCTAGCCGCCATGGCTCTTTAAGGGCGGCAGGGCCAGCGGCGGCATTGGCCAGTGCAGCAGGCGCAGCAGCAGCGGCGGCGGCCTCAGCACACCCCCGGCATCTGCAACCATGGCGTGAGTATTGTGTGTGAGGGACGGGGAATTCCTCTTGATAGTCGCCCGCTTCTCGCCTTAAGGGGGCTTGGAGTGGGGTGTTTTATCGCTTAACACGGTAATGGATGGTATCACCCGGGAATAAAAGCATCGGGGTGAAGGGTGTCCTTGTGGGGCTCAACGTGCTCGAGGCGGAGGGTGTCAGAAATGGGAGGAAATGCCGCTTCAAAAGAAATGACGGAAAATTCCTATGTCATACTCATCCTTCGAGAAAGCTCGATTGTTAAAAGTTCGGGATTTACCCATTTCATGGGGTTTCCGTGAGCATAAAAGTAGCTTATCTGTAGGGAGGTTTTTTTTAACCCACGAGGGGCAGTGCTGCTGAAGGGAGGTTCCTGACAGAGGCGGTACCATTTGGTATGTCGTGCCGAGTGGATAAACGGGGGCTGTTAATAAGATGGCAGCAGCGCTGTAATACTTGATGTTGTAGCTCTTAAGTCTCTGGAGGGTTTTCTAATACGGAGACTCCAGTAGAAGGGGGAGTGTGTGACGCTTGCTTTGTCGCCCAAACGTCTGGTTCTAAGCTGGCTCGTTCCAGAGGGCTCCGCAGCCTTTTCCCACGTCGGCATTCGGCTTGGCTCAGCCCTGTGCAGCCGGAGGCGCGGTTGGAAACGTGGCAGGATACAAAATGGCGGCCGCTGCCTGGGTGGGGATGGGGGACGCGGCAGGATCGCGAAATGGCCGCGGCTGACGGCATGGGCGCGTGAGTCATGGCGGCGGGTGGGCGGGGCCGGCGCACCCGTGCCCATATTTGGGCATGAGGAAGCCGCACCTCCCTCGGTGGGAGAAGCGGGAGCCTAAGAGGAGACATGGAAGGGGTAAAGATGTTGCGTTACGTGCAAACCGCAGTCCCCAAAGCGGGTGGTATTGCTTTTAAAGACACTATATCGGTCAAACAAGTACTGATGGATCTAAGTTTAATTCGCAGGTTTTTCAAGGCATCGCACAGCAGCATTGCTGTAGTCGACAACAAAGCCCTCTACTTGTCTGCATCCTTTGACATCAAAGCATTAAAAACTGACGAAGATGAGCCTCTTGAACAACGAGATGCTGTTGGGGGATTTATTATCCCCCTTCAGCCAGCCGTGTTCGGTGGCTGAGGAAAGTCTGGGACTCCTCGATGACTACCTGGAGGTGGCCGAGCCCCTCGGTTCGCATGGGTTCTCCAGCGACAAGGCTAAGGCAGTCTCCTCCAACTGGCTTGCTGTGGACAGTTTAGGCAACACCATAGATAGCAGCCAGGGTAAGGTGTTACTTAATCCAGCAGTTAAAATGGCGTGTAATGTTCTGGGGGGGGGATAGACAGCTTTTTTGTAAATGTGAAGGCAGCCTCACATGCATACTTGTGCTTGAAAGAATGTGTACTACATAGCTTACACAGTTAAGAAACGGCTAGTTATGGGGCTGGTGTATGGTAAAGTGACACTTCTGTTGCCCTTTTAATAACACACTGACTGTTACAGTGCTGTTCCCCAGCCGCAGCCAAGTGTGGCGGTGTGTTTCAAATGGCCTTGAATTCTTCTGGCCTTGGAGTAAGGGGAATGGAATGCTGGGATGCTGGCAAGGCT